TATCCATTGTACTTCCATACACAAATATACAATCCAATTCTATTATAAAAAGCTCTCAAGTGCTATCCAAATTATTCTGCTTAAAAATCTTCTCATATAGTGTGATGTTACAAACTATAGTACGAGTTAGTATCAGGTTTAGGAGTAATCCTATATAGGAATGCCAGTCTTCTAAACAGATATTAACCAAAGACCATCCATCTCCTCCTTAGTTCTTTTATAAATTCATAAACATTATGGTCAAGAAAATACAATGCCAAAATGAGATCATTTCCCCCAAAAGGAAGCTCTCCTAACCAACTTCTCAATCACCATTTGTCTAGTGATTTTCTGCTAAGATCAAAGCACCATAAGGAGAAAACTGTTCCTCAAAAAACCATATTCTTGGGTTTACTGCTTTTCCCAATTTTTCCTTCTTTAGCCACACTCTTTCCACCACATGCAATCAAGCTGAAATGTACAAAGGATTAACTAGAGTGATTTCAGCGTACAATTTATGTACCAGGCAAACCTCACTGTGTCACTTTCTAACCCTACTTCCCTTGTTCAGAACCTGGTGACTGCTGACATTTCTCTTCTTTTTCAACCCTCCTTCTACCAACTGGCCTGAGAGGAGTTCTCTCAGCTCTTTAAATCTTGAACATCTTTTTCTTAGGTCTGCTCCACTGTAACTTCAGGTTGAAATCAATTGCCAACTTCCTCACAAACTGGGCTGGGGTCCCTGTATAGCCTTCCCCTGGTTAAACCCCTAAGGTACTCTTAGCTGAACCATACCAACTCCATCAGCAGTTTCATTACTCCAGCTGTACTCTTCCTGTGCTCCAGTTTATGTTTATACTTTTTATTAAGGCTTTTCTGAAAGGATATCTCTCAGACCATTCTATTTTTCGATCAATTTATCCTGAATTCTCTCTCCACTTTCCAGTTTAAAAGTCATTTTAATTTTTCAGTTCTTTTGTCCCAAATTACAAACCCATACAATCAAACCTGGAAATACCCAGTCCTCCAAACAGACATCTACCAGAGGGATGATTCACAATACACATTAGCATCTTAAAAGAAGTGGTAATAATAACAACAACAACAACAACAACAATAATAATAGCTAGATTTATATAGGCTTTAGGTTTGCAAAGCACTTTACATGTGTTATCTCATTTCAACTTCACAGCTCACTGTGGTAGGTGCTATCATTATCCCCATTTTACAAATAAGCAAACTGGGAGAAACTGGTTAAATAATTTGTCCTTCATCACATGAGTAGTGTCTGAGGCTAGATTTGAATTCATGTCTTCCTAACTCCAGGTCCAGCTCTCTATCCACTGCATCAATTAGCAACTTAGTGGAGGGAGAGCTGGCAAAAAAGTCAGGAAGACCTGGGTTCAAGTAATGCTTCTGACACAAAGTCTGATCCAGGGCAAGTCAACTTTTCAGTGCTCCCAGGCAAGAGACAGGGAGGAAAGGAAAAATGAAGGAGGGAAGGAAGAAAAGAGGAAATTCCTTATACCAAATCACAGATATGTCCCTCACCCATGTTAAACAGTAGATATTCAGGCCTTGAAAAATTCAGGATTTTTGTAGGAAAACTTGAAAAATCTAGGATCTTACAGTTCATTTGATCCTCTCTACTTGCAGGTGGCTCCTCCTCCTCAATCCAAGTGTTCCCTATACTTTGAGGAGAACATTTTTACTATATATATATTCATTCTTAATTTACCAAAAAATTCTGACAGTAGCAGGTAACACACTGTTTCCCTAATCCATAACCCTAATGCCAAAAAAGAAGAAATAGAAATCTAAAACCAAACACCTTGATATTTCTAAATTAGATTATTGGCACTTTCTCACTTCAAATTAACTCTTAAATGACAGGAAAAATACAGCAAAATTCATTAACACATGTAATGGTTATTTGGGTATAGGGCTTACCACCATCTTTAGACGCTATACAGCTACACAGTAAGATGTAGTCCCTACTCCCCTAGGTCATCAAAGTGAAAAATTAAAAATCAAAAGACAGATCAGTTATGAAAATTATTCCTAAAAGGTTCTTTAAGTAATATTTTTACCTACATTCTTTTGAGGGGCAACTAGGTGGAGCAGTGGATTAGAATACCATGCCTGAAGACTCATCTTACTAGCTGTGTGACCCACTTGATTCAGTTTGTCTCAGTTTCTTCACCTGTAAAATGATCTAGAGAAGGAAGTGGCAAACCATTACAGTACCTTTGCCAAGAAAACCCCAAATGGGATCACAAAGAGTAGGACACAACTGAAACTCAACAACAAAAATCATTTTGAAAGGGAACAAAGGATGAAGCTTCTTTTCAGTTTAGCACCACCCAGAACAATGTTTCTTGCCCCCCAAAACAATGAAAACTTGAGTCTACTAAGCAACAAATGTTTCTGAATGTAGTTAGTCCCCAACTTTTCAACAAACTGTTCCAAGATTGTTAATTTTTAGAACTGAGAATGCATTTTCTCATATAAATGTCATAAATGTTGGTTGTTTCCAGGCTAGCCCACAAGTCTATTTTCATAGCATCCACTGGAAGTTATTAGTGAATATTAATTCTGACCATATACACATAAATTAGAGGATTAAGCAGCTCATTTTGAATGCTTTCAGGTTGGGGGGGGGAGGGTCTGACAACAGCTCTAGGTATTATTTTTAAATTGTTGAGATAAAAATCAGCAGACTACATCTTACTCCAAAATACCAAAGACACAAGCTAACCTTTAAGTTCTTTGCAATGATTACCTTTCCTTTTATTTCTTAACCAAATGCAAATTTAAGGGGCCTTATTTTTTCCATTGCCTACATTTGTCAGCTTTGTAATATTCAGTAAATGACAAAATGAAGAGTAATTCCCACAGAATAATATGCACACTCACTCACTGATTAGTAAAAATGTCTGCTGCCCATTTGTTGGTATGAGATTCCAAACATGAATTATCTGCCTGATAGAATCTGCATTTCAAAAACTTTAACTTTTCAGTTTATACAAAAACTTTAAGGCATATTCATTGTAGAGAATGCATTATACATGCTTTTCTAGGACCAGTATCTCTTGGAAAAGAATGATGTGTTCCCATAGCAACAATGCAGTACCACACAGCAACCACATGCACTACAATGTGCCAGGATGCTGGCCTAGTGGAAAAGGGAAGCAATATCCTTGAAAGAAAAAGCAAAAAACAGACCTCAAGCTTCCTCCCACTTGCCAATCCAACGGAATGTCTAAGCAGGGACCACCGAAAGAACCCACAATACATGGGAAACTTGGTAAATAATGAAGTTGGCTGCCAGAAAGAGAAAGTTGACTATTAGTGCCTCTCTCAATTAGGTGCCCAAAGATTATGAAAGGGACCTTTTATTTTTATAAAATTTTTTTAAATGGAAAAAGTCATCTCCCCTTCTGAACCTCATTTTAGACTAGATGTTCTCAGAATGTCCCTTCCCTCTACTTACTATCTCCAATTTATCCTGTATATACCTTGTTTGTACATATCTGTTTTGTGTGTCATCTCCCCTATTAGACTGTGATGTGAGCTCTTGGAGAATGGTGTTTAACACTGTCTGTAGACTTGATAAATCTTTTGCCTCTCTTTGTATCTCCAGCGCTTAACACAGTGCCTGGCACAAAGCAGGTGCTCAGTAAATGCATACTGACTCACTTCCCGGCTTTATAGTCTATGACTCCCAGTTCTGTCATTTACGCCTGGTGTGACCATGGGTTAGTCAAGTCCTTCATAACCTATCCTGCCCCCCTTCCAGGCTTATTACACCTTACACCTACCTCCCCTACTTACTCTTCGATCCACTGACAGTGGTTCCTAGTCATTCCTCACACACAAGCCACTCCATCTCCCAACCCTGCGTATTTTCTCTGGCGGTCTCCCATGCAAGTCCCAGCTAAAATCCCACCTTCCACGGGAAGCCTTTCCCCGAATCCCTTTAATGCTGGTGTCTTATCAATCGATTCCCACTTATCCAATATACGGCTTGTTTATGAAAATTTGCTTGCACATGGGCTTCTCATCATTACGCTGAGATATGGCGGAGGGCTGGGGCTGTCGCCAGGGCTCAGCTCCGTGCCGGGCGTACAGAAATGTTTACTGACAGCCTAAAAATGTATTCTATTTCCTCCATTGGAGATTTAAGGACCTGGAGTCTACGATGTCCTCAAGTCCTCTACACCTGTGATGTTTAGGTCGGGGGGTTCGGGGAGAGGAGGGCGGCCTGCGGTACGCCCACCCGTAGAGCGAAGAGCAGAGCGCGCCAAGGCGAGGTGGGGGCGCCAAGCCCACGGGAGCCCTGGGCTCGCGGGGCACCGACGGCGCGCGCCTCAGGAAAAGGAGTTGGGGGCGCGCTCTGGAGGAGGGAGGGAAAAATCGAAGCGGCGTCGGGGGTGCGCTCGTGGCGTGGAGGGAGTTGGGGGCGGCGGGAAAGCGTGAGAAGGGCGCACGTCGCGGCCCGAGGAACGGGATGATGGGGGGGTGCCACTCACAGGTTGATGGTGCGCTCCAGGGTGAGAGGCTTGGTCTGCTGGATGTATTTGTTCCCGAACTGGTTCACACCCCGGGGCCACCCCGTCTGGGAACGGTTGGGCGGCACAACAGACATGCTGGCGAGAGAGGGCGTGGGCGCGAGTGCTGACAGGGGCAGACGGAAGCCGAAAGAAAGAGCTGCTCCCCTTTGAGGCCGGATTATAGTCCCACTTCGGTAACCGCTACCGCCATTAACATGGAGGCAAAGAGAAGGGGGGCCGATGGTCGCCGGAAGTGCGCTCTGACCTATCCTTCCGCAGCGTCGGGCGATTCCCTCGAATCGGAAAAGGGAGCTAGTCTCCTTAGCCAGAGCGCCGCGTGGCCAATCACAGCAAGGACTTTGCACCACCAGAGGCACCCATTGGCAAGGACAAGTTAGGCCCCGCCTCTTCCCGGCTTTCCTTTTCCCATTGGGCGTCTCGTGGGTGGTGGGGGAATTCTAGGAGTTGTAGTATCAGTGAGAGCTACGCATTTGCAGCATGGCGCGCGACTCGTAGCAGCCTCCCAGTTTGGGAGGCAAAGCAACCCAAAGGTATGAGCGGGAAACGGCGCGCGGATCTGGGACCTGTCTCGGAGGGAAAGAAGAAGGGGAAGCGGGAGTTGACAGGGGAGTTCTCGGCCGCTATCCGTGAGGAGTTGCTGAAAAAGCAGGTGGCTGAGGCCTGGAGCCGGAGGACTAGATTCAGCCACGGTAACCACGGGCAGTCGGTTGCCAGCAGTTGCAGCTCTGATGGGGGCGGGGGTGGGGGGGAGGGCTGGAAGCACGCGGGAGGCGGGGTCCGGAGAGGCGGGGCCTGGGCCGAGAGACTGGAGGGGAAGACGATCCAAGCGAAACCTGGTTCACAATTGTGGAATAGTACGTTCCTTGAGGGCGTAGACTGGGTCTTTATCTCCTGCGTTTACTCCGTGCTTACTGAATTGAAAATACCACCTCCTCTCTGAAGCCGTCCTTGATTCTCCTGGTTATTGGTAATAACTCATACAGCCCCACTCAGATCTTTGCCTGCCAGTGACCTTGAGTTATCTAATTATATGCCAGGAGAGTTTAATCTGATGGTCCTGCCAACCTGAAAAGACTTCTTGTTGGACCCAGTAATGGGCCTACTGATGTAAAGAAAGGAGCTTTTTGCTCCTTCGTGATGTTGCAAAGACCTATGGGAGATGCACTAGAAATGTTTAAAGTGTCTGTTCTCAGGGAGTTTACAACTGTTAAATACTTTGTATATAATGGGTACTTAATAAATATTAGTTGTATGACTGAAAGTACACACTCCACTAGTCAAGACACTGAAGCTAAGTGAACTAGCATCTCTTAAGCACCTTAACACGTGCCAGGGTCTGTGCTAAGCATTGGAGATGAAAAGAAAAACAAAAAACAGTCTGCCCTCAAGGAGCTTGCAATCTAATGGTAAAGACAACATGCAAACAGGTAGGTACAAACAGGATATATGTACAGGTTAAGTTGGAGAAGGTACTTTTAGAGGGAAGGTAGACTATATAAGGAGGACCTGTAGGAGTTGAGATTTTAGGTGAGACTTGAAGGAAATAAGGAGGCGGAGACAAAAAGAAAGAATTCGAGGTATGAAGACAACCAGTGAAAAATGCATAGAATGAAGAGATGGAATGTTACATGCTAGGAAGCCAGTATCAATGAATCAGACTATGTAGAAGGGAGTAAAATGTAAAAAGAGTAGAAAGGTATGAGTAGGCCAGGTTATAAAAGGCTTTAAAAGCCATACTGAGGATATTATATTTAATCCTGGAAGTAATAAGGAACCACTGGGCTTTGGTAAAGAGTGAGGGGGTGATGTGATCAGACTTGGACTTTAGAAAGATCACTTTGACAATTGGGCGGAGGATAGATTGGAATGAGGAGAAAGGAGTAAGAGAGGCCAACCAGCAGGCTATTAAGAGTCTAGGCATGAGGCCTACACAAAGGGTGTGGAAATGTTGGAGAAGAAAAAGGGAGTATATCTTAGAAATGTTGTGAGGAATAGGCCTTGGCACCAGATTGGTTGTGAGGATTGAAAGGCAGGAGTCTTGGATGACACCTAGGTTGTGAGCCTAGGTAACTGGGATGGTGGTGCCATTGATAGGAAGAGGGAAGGGTTTGGGAGGGAAAGATAATAAGTTCCGTTTTGGACATGGTTAAGTTTAAGATGTCCCCATGAGGTCCAGTAAGTGGTTGGAGTTGCAAAACTGGATGTCAAAAGAGAGGTTTGGACTGGATAAATAAATGTACAATAAGAATTAAGAAAAAACAATGCATAAACTGGGTAGAGCTTCAAGGAATAGGTGGGAGGTGAACTAGAAAACAAAATATAGGGTAAGAGTGAATAGAAAGTGGAAGATCACCAATTCTTGCTCTGAATTTTAGACCATGAAGTTTTATTTCCTGTCCATCACTTCCCCTTAAATCGCATTCAGACCTCCCCAGGTAAATATTAAATGTTTTCTTTTGTAAAAGATGCTATAGTCATGGATCCAGAGCCTTTCCATCACTGTGTGATCCCAAACTTCATCCAGTGCCAGACTTTCTTGGAAGGACTTCAGAAGGAACTTTTGGATTTGGATTTCCATAAGAAATGCAATGATTTGTACAAATTCAAACAGGTGTGTATTCACAAGCCATTTATGCCACTTAAATTTAGAAAATCTTCATCCTAAAAGGTCATTTAATACAAGGTTCAACCAATCTCAGAAGATTACTGTGATTGCCTTGTTTTTATTTTACTGCTTAGTACTTTGGGCACAATGGTAGCAAAAGAAACATAGTTCTTTTTTCTCACTTGTATGTTTCTAATTTATCTTCATGATGCAGTATCATAGATTAGGAAAACTTAGAACTAATTGATACAGGTTTGAATCTTAGCTGTGATACTTTATAGCCATCTGGCTTAGGGGTGAATTACTTTAACCTCTCTATACTGGTTTCCTCATCTATAGATTAGTGATAACAATACTTGCAATAGCCATTTCATACAGTTGTTTTTAAGGTTCAAGTGACATAAACGCACTGTTATAGATACATGTATGTGTATAATTTCTATATATATAAATGTGTGAGCAATATACATGTGAGTAGTTTGGTGGCATGGTGAGTAGAGCACTGGACCTGGAGTCAGAAGGACCTGAGTTCAAATCCAGCCTCAGACCAAACACTCAGGACACTTACAACTGTGTGACCCTGGGCAAGTCACTGAACCCCAATTGCCTTTTAAAAAAAAAAAGAAGATACTAGCTGTGCAACTTTGAGCAGCTCACTTACTCTGCCTGAGTTTTCTTATTTGTAAAATGGAGGTGATAGCACCTTCCTCCCAGGGTTGTGGTAAAGATAAAATGAGATAATTTTTGTAAAGTGCTTTGTATATCTAAACTGCTATATATAAATGTTGTTATTACTATTCTGACAGCTTTACTGCCCACTCCTCTTCAAATTAACATTTTATAAAAATGGGATGGGCAGATGTACATTGCTGAAACTAAGAGAGTGGATTGGGGAGAGGAACATGACAGATTTTGTGCCATATCTCTTATCCAAGCTGAGAAATGGAAGGGCAAAATCTCACACACACACTAAAAGTAATTGGCCTGGACATGAGGAAGCAAGACAGAATGGAGAATTGGTGGGAAATGACTGGAATCAAATAATCTAAGCAAAATAAGTCACAAGGACTAAGTACTGACCGAAAAGAAAACAATTCCTGTAGAGGAAAACACAAACTTGACAGTTATAACCTAAAAGTGAATAGACTAATTCCCTAGGAAAGAGAGTGGAAGAATGGATAAGAAAAAACTCAGCAATTTACTATATTCAGGAAAGATATTTCAAAACAAAGGCATACATACCAGGTGAAAAGGAAAGATTGAGACAAAACTTGTTTTCCTTTATTTGATTCTAGAAAAGCAAGAGATGAAACTGATTTTTAAATAAGGCAGTAATACAAATTTAGTGTCAATTTTGTTAAGTTTAAGGATATCGAGGCAATAAGACAATGTTAAGTATGTATTTACCAAATGGCATTATTAATAAGTTCTTAAGAGCTAACAGAATTGTGAAGATATTGGTAATTACATAATAGTTGTAGAGAACTAATATTCTTTTTTAGAACTCTAAATCTAACAGAAAGATAAGCATCAAAGAAAATAAAGAACTGAACAAATCATTGGCGCAATGAGGTTTGAAACACCTATGGCAGCTTCTCATTGGGAATGTTTAAGCACGTACCTATTTTAGAACATCAGTAATAGCTTTACAAATATTGATCATGTCTTCGGACATAAAAGTATTAAATATTTTCTTTATAGATTGTAATATAATGAAAATTACTGTTAATAAAGGAAACATACGCAAAATGTATAGACCTAAATGGAGACTAAGTAATATTCCGAATCACAAGCAGGTTAAAGAACAATATATAATTGTTAAAGGAATGGTCATAATAATATTAGAACAATATGTCAAAATATATGCGATCCAATTAAAGTAGTACTCAGAGGAAAAATTAGATCTCTGAAATCATTGCTGAATTAAGAATAGATATTTTTAGTGAAGTAAGCAAGCAATTAGAGAAAATAGAGTCAGCAACAACCCTTAAAAAAGGAATCTTGGGTCATTAGAGGGGAAATAGAAAAAAAAAATGAGAGAATAAAGACAATAGGAGTGATTTTTTTAACTAGTTTTTGTTTTTTTGGGGGGGTTTTATTTTTACATCATTGATAGAAAATAAATCATTACCTACTTCAGTGTTACAGTGGATCTCTGGTTTCTTTAACATAGCTATTCCCTCCAAAGGTGCAGATCACAACTCTTCTGTGCTTTCTGATTCTTCTGCCACTCTCGTCCATGTTCTATAAGTCTTGCACAAAGGTGTTGACCTAACCTGCTTAAACCTTCCTCCGTGTGAATATCTGAACACACAGACTGTCCATGACTAGCCTACCTTCTTTGCTGGTCAAACAGCTTTCTAATTACATCTTTATGATAACTTGGTTTAAAAAAAGAGGAAAATTAGGTTGCCAGAATAATAAATGAACAAACTGAATTCACAGTGATTAGAAAGAAAACAGAGAATTATCCATTTTGGAAGAGAGAACAAAAGTGAGTCAGTCAGCTAGCATTTATTAAATACCTACCATGTGCCAGGCACTGTGCTAACTAAGCACTGGGTATACATACACATACAAAATTGGATGTCAGTTCAAAATAGGGTTGCACATGAGAAGAATGGTACCAGTTTTCTTCAGTTATTCTCTCTGTAGTAGTGGTATCAAACTCAAATAGAAAGGAATCCCTGCTGGCCACAAGTTAACCTGGAAAACCACACATTATTATCTATGGCCATTTACCTGTGGCCATAAAGTAATAAGTATTGAAAGTGTGATTTAAACTTGGGTCCAACTGACTTTGAGACTCATGTTCTTACCACTAATTAAAGCTATTTTCCCAGGTTATCTTATATGTGTCCCAGCACTGTTAAGGATACAAGGAAAACATAAGGAACAATCCATGCCTTCACAGGACTTATAATGTTGATGTTAACATAAGACAGACATACAAAAGCAGAACACATAGGTAGTAAGCTAGGTAGTATTGATTTTATGTGCAGAGTTCAGGGGAGACAGGTACTTGAGAGCTCAGGCAACCCGTTTTTTGTTTTTTTGTTTTTCAATTATATTACCAAAGTTCTAAGAATAAAATGATTTACCTGTATTTCTAATGTCTGGGAATTTTTTTTTCATTATCAAAAAGTCAGATGATCTGAAGAATAGAGACGAACTTCACATTTCTGCTTTAAGGTAAATGAAGTGTCCCTAATACATAGTAACAGTAAACTAGAGCCCCTTTTTCTAAGCCCTGAACTCTAGGACCTGGATTAACTGTAGCTTATTTGCAGTACTTTGTGTTTGTTTGGTGTCCTTTTAAAAATATTAGCTTTATTTAGAGCAGGGATGGGGAACCTTCGGCCTTGAGGCCGTTCCCCACCCCTAAGAGCATTGCTTCATGATTTACAGCATCCTTCTAGAAAGCATTCTGTAGTTGGAAAACAGAGTCACAAAATAAGTAAGAAAATATCCAAAGGATTCTACAGACTCAGAAAACTGAAACTCTATATCCAGCACAAAGAAACTGACCAGCTACTGATCTTGGAATTTTTCTAGGTAGATTGTATGACTTCTCTAATGAAAAGAGTTAAGAATTGAAAAGTGTTGCAAGAAGGAAAGCTTTGCTAAAATGAAAGCTTTCCAATGGCATAGACACAGATTTAGTAAATGAAGCCTTTCCATAAAATAAGTCCACGAAAATGATCTTACCAGTGCATAGTAGGGGCAGGTATTTAAGGAATCCATTTAAGGCTTTGGTTCTGTTGCTCGTCCAAAGGGTCTAGTAGCTTCAGGACTTATGAAATATATTGTGATCTACAAAATTTAAAGCTGCACTCAATCCTAATGTTAGTATACTAATCCTATCCATATAATTTTTACACTAAGCATATTATATGACATTTTGATTTGTATTGTTCAAGGACATTTAGTTTTTTTGGTCTACTATATAACTAAGAATATTCCCGAAAAAGTAACTCCCATTAAATCCTAGGAACTTGGTAATTCCTCTGGCCTATTTTCTTGCCTCCAAACAATAACAGCTGTAGCCTAGATGAGGAATACCAAAGACTATACATAACATGATGATTAATATCTCTGCTTTTTAGGAAAGTTTTGTTTGAAGATTTCCGGAGATGGCTTTCTGACATTGCTAAGATAGACTTGGAATCAACCATTGATATCTCCTGTGCTAAGTATGAGTATACAGGTGAGAAAAATGAAAGTTTAAATCCTTAATGGATATTACTAATGAGTATATTTAGGGGGAAGCATCATTTTTTCATAGGAAAATTCTGACCTCAGTCACCAAGATAGGTTTCAGCTGTTCTCGGTTGCATTTGCAAAACGTTTTAAGGGAATGATTGTCTCTTCCTACACTTGTTCCTACAATGGAATGGAGGAAAAGCACAAAGAACCTGAAGTTTCAAAGTGAACTTTATAAGGTACTGCAAGAATAGGTCATATAGGAACCACAGTTCGACAAGGCACTGCCACTCCACTGACCAGTGTATCATCACTGCCTCTTTCCTAGCAATTCTGGCTACAAAAGAGTTCTGGGTATTGACAGGGTTCAAAAAATGGGCTGCCATATCAGGGACCTGGGGGGACATTCATGTCTTACATTCACTGAGTAGAATAGTGGGCAAAAGTATTTATAGTTGCATAAGTTAAATGAATATGAGATGCAACTACATTCTATTATATACATTTTGCAGATGAAGAAACTGAGGTTCATTAAGGTAAAGGAACTTGCTCACAATCACACAACTAGCTAGCAAATTTAGAGCCAGAATTTAAACCCAGGTCTTTCTGACTCTAAATTTAGTGCTCTTCATTATACTATGCTGTTATTTTAACTTTTTAAAATTCAGAATTTCAAAAATAATGATCATCATAATACCTAGTATTTATTTAGTGCTTTAAGATATACAAAGCACTTTTACAAGTATCTTATTTTATCCTCTCAACAACCTGGGGGGGGGGGGCGGAGACATCATTATTATTATTCCCATTTTATAGATGAAACTGAGGCAGATAGATTAAATGACTTGCTCAGGATTACATATCTGTTAAATTTCTTAGGTCAGATTTGAACTCAGGTCATCCTGACTTCAGGTCTAGTACTCTCTCCATTGTGCCACCTACCTTGAATAAAGATTGAGTCTCTGTCACATAGGCATTAAAATTCGGTATAGATTAGCTGCTGCAAATGTATATATAAAGTAGGGCCAGGTACTCAGTTGTATACCATTGCAGATGTCCTGCTATGCCATGATGATGAACTAGAGGGAAGAAGAATTGCTTTCATTCTTTATCTCGTTCCTCCTTGGGACAAGAGCCTTGGTGGTACCTTGGACCTGTATAGTACAGATGGTAAGATAAAAAAAGACTCTCACATTTTATCTCTCAGTGTTTACTCAGCTTCCACGTTTTTGTATGTGACCATTAAGCAAGTCCTATTCATTCGTCGAGTCACTGAATTAGAAGGGAAATAAATCTATGAGGCAGGAGAAGCTCTTTCATTAATATGGGCTTCTCCAGAGTTAGTTCAAGCACTAGGATTATGATCTCTTTATCTTCTCATTAAGTTCTATGTGAGGAATTATCATTGGCCTAGGACATATAAGGTAGATAATTAGGTAAGTTAAGATAGAGTCCACCTCACCTTCATGATCATGTTGATTATTCAGTGGATAGGTACAGAGTAAAAATAATCCCTTTCATTTACACGGTCACTCCATATGACCAGATGCTTTCCATGTGACCAACAGCCAAGAAGATGCCAACATTAAAACCAGTTCTCCTCATTTTTGGAAAGACAGTTGTTATCATTTTAAGATCCTCAAATCCTAGAATTTGGAGTTAGAAGGGACCTTAAAGATTATTTACTCCAACGCTTTCATTGTAGAATAGAAGAAACTGACCCAGAGAGAGGACGTGACTTCCTCAGTGTCTTAGGAACCTGAAGGCGTAAGAGCCAAGTAGGAATAAGTGACAGTTTTCAGGATTCGGAGGGTATAATCATTTTCCCTTCTACATACGGTTAAACAGGAAAATAGTAATGGTAATGCTTAAAGCTATTTGTGAACTACACCTTTGGTTGTGCTTTCTTCTGGTGTAGAACATTTCCAGCCGAAGCAGATTGTTAAGTCTCTCATCCCCTCTTGGAACACCTTGGTTTTCTTTGAAGTGTCTCCAGTATCCTACCACCAGGTAAAGATGGCAAGCCACAAATGGACCAAGCTATCAGTGAACGTTCTTTTAAAATCAGGCATAATTTAGTGGGTACCTATCTCCTACAAATGTGGAGTTCAGCGTGGTTGTTTTCACGTCAAAATCTGGTGCTCTGAGACATAACATCCACACTTTTACAGAAGTGGAAAATATATGATTTGGTGAGTAATCTCTGTAGTTATCTCAAATACTTATTTGTGCCTGATTTTATTCTTTCAGGTGTCTGAAGTTCTATCTGAAGGAAAATGTCGACTGTCTGTAAGTGGCTGGTTTCATGGCCCTCCTCAGACAAGACCTTCAAGCTATTTTGAGCCCCTTTTACCTCGTAGCCCTCACATTCCACGAGATGTAAGATAAAGTACCTTTATTTTAACAACTAGTAGGTTCAGTTATTTCTCTCAATTTCCAAGTGACTATTCCTAATAAACTGTTGAGTTCTAGCTAGTCTAATGTTGACTTTTGTCTTTTCATGTAAACTATTGCAATATTCACTTATATATTGGAAGATTTGTGAATAGGTGATTTACTGTACTTTACCAGTGCCTCAGACTCTTTGACCAAGAATTAAAGTTAGGGTAGATACATCCCTTTTATTTTCTATTTCTTTACAGAGTGAAATTTTGTTTGAATGGATTAATCCAATCTATATGGACATTGATTCCCAGGCTCAAATTCAAGAGGAATTTGAGGAGCGATCTGAAATTCTGCTGAAGGACTTTTTCAAGGTGACTCAAAAAGGTGTATTCAGTACCTTATTGCTTTGCATGTTGTCATACTTACTCTTTTTGAGGCATATAAGCATAAGGTGGATAGAGAATTAACTAGGTCTTCAAGGGGCTTATCTTTGCTGCTCTGCTTCTGCAGTTCTATTGTTCCATCAGATAATACAGATATAAGAAAAAACTTTAATTTCCTGTAGGATTAAGGTTCTTTGGTCATTTGCAATGTTCAGTTCACTTTCTTTAAATTAAAGAAACAGCACTTAATATTATTGCTATTCTTTTCCTGTACATAAAGCTCCCTTCTTCCTACCTTTTTGGTTTTCATACTTTTCAGTATTATTACATCTTTTATGGGATTTTAGGAGCTCAATAAGTGTTAATTGGTGGTGGGGATAAAATCACATTACAGTGAATCATAAAAGTCGTTGAAGTCTAGAATTAGAAAGGACCTTAAAGGGATAATGGTATACCTAAGATTACAAAGTTAGTGAGAGAACTGGAACTAAAAACACTGCCTTCCTGACTCACTCTAGTGTATACTTTCCCCACAGAATCCCAAGACACTGTACAAGTTATTTATGTTCAACTGGGATTTTCTTATACCAAATGTTGATTGAGTAAGCATGGCCTAGAGAGCCTTTTATCATACAAAGATTTTCATCATAATAATAATGGTTGTAACTAAACCAGTTTTACCTTTAAAACAGTCTTATGGATTCAGTGGGGGTATGTTATGGGGGTGTTATTTTTTACAGATTAAGGAATTGAAGCAGTTGGGTCCCACAAAGAGTGGTAGAATCAAATCTGAAATCAGAGTGTTCAGATCCTTAGCTAAAACTAAAGTGCTCCAGGCCTCATTGACCGAAGGAGAAAATACACTGGGTGAAGAACATTTAAACAGAATTTAAAGTCACAGAAACTGAACCCATAATTTTTCAGTAAATAAACTCTTTGTATAGCCTAATGGTTACACACTAGCAAAAAGAATGTGAGATTGTGAAAAATGAAGAATTCTGCTAACTGTTCTTATTACTTGTTTTTCAGCCTGAAAAATATGAAGAGATATGTGAGGCTTTGGAGAAAGAAGATCTAGAATGGAGCCAACGAGGTCCCCCCAACAAAAGGTAGGCTTTTTTGTCTAAGGAACTTGCCTTTGAATTAATTCCTACTCTTGTATGCTGCTGCTGCTGTTGGTAGTCATAAGACACACGTGTTCTAAGGGCCTGATTTTATGAATATGGACATATTACTCAGTTGTTATCATGTTAATAAGGATAACCAATGACTGCAAGAAGCAAAATGGTCTCACTTTGTAGCTTCTTATGCATGCTCAGTTTTGGGGAGAGGTGCTTAATTTGTGACAAGTCTATGTATCCTGCATCTTTTTAAGCCTGGAGTTGTGATGAACACCTTAAGGCTGTTGCATTTCAGGTTTTATGAAAAAGCTGAGGAAGAGAAGCTTCCAGATGTCTTGAGGCACTGCATGGAGTTATTTCGTTCTGAGGCCCTGTTCTTGCTGCTGTCCAACTTCACAGGCCTGAAGCTTCATTTCCTAGTCTTTTCAGATGAGGAAGATGAGGATGATGAGGAGCACACAGAAGATAATGAAGAAGAAAGCAGAAAGATTAGCCATGTTTCTTCCAAACCAGAAAACTATCAAGAGGCTGGTGGCCACACAAGCCAGCAGAGCAAGACGGAAACAGCCCTACAACCAGAGAAGGAAAAGGCAAAGAATAGTAAGCTACTCTTGTAATATCTGTCTTTATTGAACATTAACGAGGTTCTAGGAACTACACAGAACATAAGAAAGGGATATACCATCTGTCTCAAAGAAATGAGCCTCATGTACAAGAAGATACAGCTGTAGAATGGAGAAATAGGAAGCCCAAGACAGCTCTAACCCAAGAAAAATTTCTTACAGGAAAAAAAAAATAGATTATCATCTGAATAGAAGGAAGTTGTAGGGGGAGGAATTATGGTAGGAAATAACCTACAAACAAGATTGAGAAGCCAGAAGGAGAAGTAATCTGACTTGAACAAAGCAAAAATAAAAGGAAATAGAGAAAGGCCTATGGCTTTCTTCTTAATCATAATAGTTGATGATTTGAATTATAAGGTACCTCCTTCTTTTGACATCATTACCTGAGCTCCCGCAAACTCAGCTTAGACTTTCAACAACTACTAAACCAGGCTGTGAAATTCTTCCCCCTATTTCATTCATCACTTTTCTCTCCTCATGCTTCATATACTTATTTTCTTTCCTAAGCCGTACTCTTCGAAATGTAGTGAGCAAGGTGGCTCTGTAGATGAAGGGATAATACAACTTTAAACAAGTATAACAATAGGATTCTGACCTGCCATTGATGTAGCTTACTTTCAGGTGTCTTCCAAAGCCTGTGGGAAAACACTTCACATACTGGACTTAAAAAGAAAAAGTCCCAGATGATTTTACTCTCAGATATTCCCAAACCTGGGACAACAGCCTTTATTTGAAGCATAGAACTCAGGATTTTAGTCAGAAGGGAACTTGAAATCATCTGCTCCATTAAGATATTCATAATAGGGGCAGCTAGGTGGTGCAGTCGATAGAGCACCGGCCCTAAAGTCACGAGGACCTGAGTTCAAATCCAGCCTCAGACCAAAACACTTGACACTTACTAGCTGTGTGACCCTGGGCAAGTCACTTAACCCCAATTGCCTTTAAAAAAAAAAAAGATATTCATAATAACAACAGCAAACTTTTCATTGCCCTCTATGTGAAAAGCAGTACACTAGATGAAGAAATACAAAAATAAAATAATAGTTCCTACACTTTTGAAGCTTTTAGATATTTGAGGTGGAGTATAAATCAGAGATAGATAACTATGTTATGCAGTATTCCATGACAGATGGATTCAGTGCAGAAAGGGTAAGACTGTTGCTGATTAGGGCTTCAGGAAACACTTCATGGACAAGGTAGAATTTGAGTTGGACTTTAAAGGATAGAATGGAGAGCAAAAACCTGGAGGTAGGGAAAAAGATATATCTGATTTGGGAACTGAGGCCAGTTAGATGAACTAGAGTGCCTAGAGAGTAGCAATATGTGATGATAATATGTAGGGTGGCATCAGATTGTGAAGGGCCTTGAAGTTTGAGTACCGGAGTTTGAATTTAGAAGGCCATAGGGAGCCTGTGAAGATTTTTGAGCAGAAGAGTAACATGACAACATTTATGAAACATTACTCTGGCAGCTGTATAAATGACAGGTTGGTGGTGGGAGAAAGTAGAGAAAGATCTGTTAGAAGATCATTGTCATCATACAATTGTGTAATAGTGAGGACCTGGACTGTGATGGTAACAGTGGGAAAAGGAGAAGACATGTGAGTGATGGTGCTGATGTGGAATAAACAAAACATGGTAACTAGTTGAATAAAAGGTAAAAAAAAAAAAAAAGAGTAAAGAGCCCCAAATTTACAAGCATGGGAGATTGGATGAATAGTGGTGCCAAAGACAAATGTGAAGATCAAGAGGAATATCCCCTATAGGAGAAAAGATAATTAACTTAGTTTGGGACATGTTGAGCTTGAGGTGCCAGGGGAACATAACAGGTTGAAATGTCCTGGAGCATCTGGAGATGCAGTTATGGAGCTCAAAAAAAGAGTTCATGACCTGAGGTGGAGGTTTGAGATTCTTTTGTGTAGAGGCGTTACTTGAAGTTTTGAGAGTAAACGTTTGGCCGAGAAGGAGAAGGCCAAAGATGGATCTTTGAAACATCCATATTAGAGGTAGAGCTAAGAAGCATTGGTTCTTGTATTTAGGTCCTAAAAGAAATGAGACCTCTAAAATTGTTTTGTACTTTAGAAACTGTTTCCATGGGAATCTATGTATTGGAAGAAATCTGTGTGATCTATAAGAAAATGCTTACATTTCTTAGTCTGGTGATTTGAAAAACAGAATTTGCTCAGGGGTTTTAGGTTTCATTGATAAATATGCATAGAGCTACGGGACATTTAACGGGCTACCTAGAATCTTTTCAGACGAAATAATTTTTAAAAATCATTTATAAGACTAGATTATGTTGACAATAGGTAATTTGCAGATCTTTGATAAGTGTTTTCCCCTTAGTGGCTTGTTAAGACTGTTGCCTTCATTTTCTTATCCAGCAAGTTATTCCAAAATTATTTCTCTTGTTCTAATTGGTTTTCCAGCCATTTTTCTCTTTTTGTTCCTTCTTAGAATCAAGTGTCCCCAAATGCACTGGGGAGCTGAGGCATTGGAAGAATGGTCATTACAGTCTAGTGCATGATACCAAAAATACTGAATTTGCCTTGGACCTGCTTTTCTACTGTGGCTGTAAAGGTAAGGAGGAAAAAAATGGCACCTTTCTTTGGTGATTGTCAGTCTTACCAGAGGAATGTGACTATGATAACACTGTAAGGAAATCTCTCAGATCAGGGACTTTCATATACTAGTTTCTGCCTTGCTTTGCATAGAAATGTTTTGGGGGAAGCTAGATGGCGCAGTGGATAGAGTACCGACCCTGGATTCAGGAAGACCTGAGTTCAAATCCAGCCTCAGACTGACACATAACACTTACCAGCTGTGTGACCCTGGGCGAGTCACTTAACCCCATTGCCTAACCAAAAAAAAGAAAGAAAGAAATAATAATAGAAGTGTTTTGCTTTGCTCCTTGAATCATAGAATCTGAAAGTTAAAATAGACATTAGAAAGCAATCTTCCCATCTAGTAACTTGGAATATGAGATGGACACCTTCGTTATTTCCCACAAATTCCCTTATCCCTAAGATTCTAACCTTTTCATGTTTCCCTGCTGAGTAACTATTTTCCTCTCTCTACCTTTAATTGTTAGATCTGTTTGGGTTGAAAATGAACCATGATGGTCAGTAGCAATAGGAATTCAGAGAAAGGAAGAAGACAGTAGTCATAGTTGCTAATGAATTTGGTGACTATCATCCTCCCCTTTTCTCTCATTGTACATACAGAATACATCTGCTGGGAACAGTTCAGGAGAGATTAAATATATAATGTAATTGTTACCCAGTTGTGCAAAAGCCATAGTTTTCTGAGTGCTGTGGGTTTTTTATTTTCCTTTATAGGATGGAAAACAGAATATGGTGGCTTTACTTCCTATATTGCCAACGGTGAAGATGAAGAGGTGAGGTGCTTTGGTGCTTTGTTCCTTTTAGCTCTTTTTATTTTTTAATATAACATTATAATTTTTTTTGTTTTAATAATATTTTTCCCCCAGTTTCATGTCAAGAAAATTTTTAGCATTCATTTTACAAAATTTTGAGTTCCAAATTTTTGTCCCTCCCTCTCCTCTTCTGAAAATGGTAGGCAATTTGATGTAGTTTTATACATTGCTATCATGTAAAAATATTTCCATATCAGTCACAGTTGTGAAACATTAACAAAAAACATGAGAAAGAATAAAGTAAGTGAAAAAAATATGCTTTCAATCTGCATTCAGAGTCCATCAGTTCTTTATCTGGATGTAGATAACATTTTCCTTTGTGAGTCCTTTGTACTTATCTTGGATCATTGTGTTGCTGAGAAGAGCTGAATCATTCATAGTTGACCATCACACAGTATTGCTTATACCATGTACAATGTTTACCTGGTTCTGTTCATTACACTTTACATCAGTTTGTACAAGTCTTTCAGGATTTTCTTTTTAAAAGCTCTTGAAGAAACTAAGAAATAATGATGATTGCCATTTCTGTAGCACTTTAAGGTATACAGTTGCTTTCCCCACAACCTTGTAAGTTAGTTCAAATATCCCTATTTTACAAATTCAGAAATTGTGGCTCAGGGAAGTTAGGTTACTTGATTAGAGTCAAACAGCTAGTTAGTGTCAGACCTTTGACTCATACACAGATCTTCTGAGTCTAAGACCAGCACCATTTCTATTCTGTCTCTCACTGTATTTTGGAGGTTTGGTTCTTATGAACCTCCATAGGTGTCTGGAAATACTGCATCTATGTTTGGTCTTGCTGCTATAGTTTCAAGTCTCTTAAAGGAACGCTCAGTCTGGAGGAAAATGCTATAACATAATATTTATTGAGTTGTCTACATACTGTTTAACATGCTGTTAAGTCCAGTAGAAGATTATATATTAAACAACATCCATATCCTACCTCTCTTGAGTTAGCTTGTAAAGGACATGAACCATATAGTGAGGAATAAATTCATCAGGTGCCTTCTTTTGGTATGTCCTATCTAGTAATGACTGTAAACATTTTTATACCCAGAGCAACATCAACCCCCACAGTAGCCCAGAGAAAAAACTTCTAAAGGATTTTCAAATCTTCTGAGTGACTGATTTTAGAAATCAGTGATGTTTGATGAAATGTAGAAGAAGGGAAGAAGTGAGTACATGGGAAATAAATTATCTGTTCTAACTATTGCTTTGCTTACCTGTTTTAGCTCCTAACAGTGACTCCAGAAGAGAATTCATTGGCATTGGTTTATAGAGATCGAGAAACTGTAAAATTCGTCAAGCATATTAACCACCAAAGCTTAGAGCAGAAGAAAACTGGCCAGGACAGAACAGGTTTCTGGGACTTTTCCTTTGTCTACTATGAATGACTGGACTGTGCCAAAGGTAAATGAAAGAGGAATGCTTCGTTGGACCAGAAAGGAAAATGGGACAAGAGCATGAATCAAAGCATATTAACAGGGTCTCATACCAATCAGGATTTTTAAAGTTGTGTGCTGAGTATTCTTTTAATAGGGAAATTTATTAACCTGTCTTAATCAGTCTGAATCTGAATGCTCAGCTTAGAACTCTAGTCTAAGGGACTTATCTCTTGATGTTTTTAAAAGGAGTATTGGAGGGCTTCAGTTTTCCTCATCAGTGCTTCAGTGATTCTTTGCCTCAGTAGAACTGAATGAAACTGGACGTGGCCAGTACTGAATCCCGTTGTCCTTTCCAAACCACATCAGTGCACATTACTACAGACTCTGGGACCCTGTTTTTGCCATATACCTATCAACAAGCACTTGAGCAAACATTTATTAAATACCTAATATATACTGTACTGTACTGTACTATTTTCAGAGACTAGTTCCAGTCCTCAAGGAGTTCTTGTACAGGTATATAAATAAAAGGAGTACAGAGGGATGGGAGTGCTTTCTGCTTTGAGTTGGGTTTCTGGCATGATTTAAATCTAGTAGTTCTTCTTGCTGTAGGTATGACCATTTGATATTGAATTAGAGCAGGTGGTGGTCCTGATCAAGGACGTCATCGTCATCATTATTATTATTATTACTATAAAGAAATCCTGAAAATATTTCAGTCTATAGTTCCCATCTTATTCTTCCCACTCTGGAGTTTAAAAGAGATACGCTACTCTGGGAATAATTAACACCACATCTTTCTTCACTAGCCCCAGATGGCTTTATTTTAGGGAGATTATGGATGTACCCAGTACACTCATTTTTAGAATTCACCCACAGGTTTCTGTGGGTAGTGGCTTTTACATATTTTGATTATTATGAATGAGCTTCACAGGTTTCTGTGGTTAGTGGCTTTTACATATTTTGATTATTATGAATGAGCTTCACTACACTGAGCAGATTGTATCTGACCACCATTGTTACCCTTGATATCCTTGTATAAATTATAAACATAAAAGTTCCAGACTTAGTTTTTTAAAATAGTTATAATAGATAGTAGATACTTATAGATGGTCCATCTTATGTTTCTAATCTCTTCCATGGAAGCACAATTAGGGGAACAGGCCCATACAAATTTAGTTGTTTTTTTTAACTTTCAATTTCCAGGTTTTGATATTTCTAATAAGGATTATCATTGCATTTGGAGTTAGAAGAGACACATAGAGATTATCTGGTCTGTTGGTTTTCAGATTTCTTATTCTTGGTATAGTATTTTTAAATAGCATTTTATTTTTTCTCAGTTATATGTCAACAGTTTTTAAGCATTCATTTTTACAAAATTTCAAGTTCCAAATTTTTCTCTCTCCTCCTCCTCCCCTCTTCCTCAAATGGTAGACAATTTGATATAGGTGATATATGTGCAATTCTGTAAAACACACTTCCATATTAATCACAGTTGTTAAAGAAAAAACAGATCAAAAGGAAAAAAAACATGAAAAAATGAAGTAAGTGAAGAAAGTATGCTTTGATCTGCATTCATAGTCCATCAGTTTATCTGCATGTGGACAGCATTTTCCATGAGTCCTTTGTACTTGTTTTAGATCATTGTGTTGCTAGAAGAGCTAAGTCATTCATAGTTGATCATTACACAATGTTGCTGATACTGTATACAATGTTTTCCAGTTTTGCTCACTTCACTTTGCATCACTTCGTACAAGTCTTTCCAGGGTTTTTCTGAAGTCTGTGTGCTCATCTCTTACGGAACAATAGTATTCCATTACATTTATATACCACAACTTGTTCAACCATTCCCCAAACTGATAGGCATCACCTTAGTTTCCAATATTTTGCCACCACAAAAAGGGCTGCTATAAATAAGTTTGCATATGTAGGTCCTTTTCCCTTTTTTATGATGTCTTTGGGATATAGATCTAGTAGTAGTATTGCTGGATCAAGGTTTTGGTTGCCCTTTGGGCATAGTTCCAACTTGCTCTCCAGGATGGTTGGATCAGTTCACAACTCCACCAAAAATGCAGTAACTTCCCAATTTTTTCACATCCTCTCCTTTTCCTTTTTTTCATATTAGCCAATGTGATAGCTATGAAGTAGTACCTCAGAGTTGTTTTAATTTGCATTTCTCTAATCAAAAGTGATTTAAAGCACTTTCTTCATATGACTATAGATAGCTTTGACTTCTTCATCTGAAAACTGCCTGTTTATATCCTTTGCATGGCATAGTATTTTTTGCTGTGAGGAATTGCAGCAGAGGAGAGAGTCAGGAGACTTCATTCATGTGATTACAAGTCCAACTAAATCTCATATACTTCATAGCACACCTAGCTCTTGGTGTATGTGTACTCTTTGAGTGCTACTGATCTAGTCCAATACCCTCATTTTTTCAGATTAAGAAAGCAAAGCTTCGGAAGGTTAAGTGAATTGCCCAAGCTACACCAGGATTCAAATCCAGGTCTTTTGACTCCAAAGACTTAAACTTAACCATCTCTCCCACTCCACCCCACCCCCGATCCTCTTTTTATTACATTATGCCAAAGTTTACTCATGCAACCATCATTTTATTTTAGAGCTAAATCTGAAGTCACCTTTCACTTTACAGGTAAGGAAACTCAAAGTCCAAAAGAGGAAGTGAAGGATTACATAGCTCGTGGGTGGCAGCACCAGGACTAAAGTTCAAGTCTCCCATTGCTATGAAATCTCACTTGAAGAGGTTTTAATTTTGTCCAAATCGTTAAGAAAATGAAAAACACATCTCTGCCATACCAGTGTTCCCTTCTGAAATAAAAGTTAAATCCATTGTAGTAATGGAAAAGTGTGAAATAAATGCTGCAAAACAGCATATGAGGAAGATGATGTTGCAAATGGCAAAGTGATTCCAAAGAAACTTCACCAACCTCCATGAAACCACATTCTCATAATAGCTGCCTTTCTTCACTTTGATGACAAGTTCATACAGTCATTTTAAACCATATTACAAACAACTTAAAAATTGTATGGTATCTTTTCATAATAAGCAGAGCCCTACACTGCACAAAGAATGGAATGAGTCACTGTAAATCAAGAGCTTAGAGGCAAGAGCAGTGTGGGCAGGGTCCAGATGGGAAAATGCAAAATACCAGGCTGTTGTCTTGTGCCTTATTTAAGTGCTGTGATAACAGGACTCTGAATCGTCAGATTTATAATTGCTACTTTTAAAAATCTGGAACATTAATAAAGATGTTGAAAATCACAAATATTTCTGTGGGTTATATGATAGTATATAGTTTCTTGTTCTTTGATTTCTGAAGCAGCTGAGGTATGAGTGGTGGTAGGATGGTTGAAAACATGTGATTTGCTAAAACAGCAAGCCATACTCTGCAACATGAATGTGAGGGTCCAACTTTATTGCACCTTTTTTATCTTTGAGTTAAAAGTCATTTACTGCTTCAATTTCTGAATTTACATTTTAACTATATTTAAGTAATCATTGCATCATGGTACCAAATAAGTTTACAAGCCTAGTATATTTTGCTGGATTGTCTCCCCCTATATTAAAAATGCTTTCCTGTTGATTGGAGTTTGATAGCTCTGGGTGAGTTGCTACTTTTTGTGAAATAGTGTAATATTTTTGTGGGATAGTATTCTATAAGCCAGTGTACCCAGGCCTGACTTGTGGAACTGAAGCACACTTGGCACCGTTAGAACTCCAGTGGCCATGAGAGTTACTGGAAAAGATTCCTGAAGTAAAGTATGATAGTCACTTTCCTTGGAGACGGAAACAATTCAGAAGATCCTATGGTTTTATTGTCTTTAAATTATTTAGTATATTTTATTCCCCCCCCCCCAAAAAGCTTATTCACTTTAAATGACCAAAAACCAAACTAGTAGCCTCTCATAAGTAGTGGAAACCTCATCATGAACATTTAGGGAAAAGCCAGATTTATAAAGGAGCACCTTAACAAGATAAAGCTGTGCCTAACTGGTTCAGAATGCTAATGTGGCTTCAGAAAAGAAATGGGATAGCATCTTGCCATTCAAAACTCTGCCCACAAACATGTTTCAGGTAAACGACTAAATTTAGAAAAACAGTATTATAGATTTATTCCTAAAAAAGGTCCTTAGAAGTTATTTCATCCAGCCGTTTTATAAATGAGAAAACCAAGGTCCAGAAAAATTATGATGCAGAAACACAAACATGGGAGATCCAAGTGCTATGTATAATGGACAATAGGACCAGTTTGGCTGCAATCTAGAATGCATGAAGGGGTGTTACGTATGAGTCTGGAAGGGTAGGTTGGGGCCAGGTTGGGAAGGACTTTAAACATCAAACCAGGTTTATGTTTGGTCTTAGAGGTGATTGGGAACCACTGAAACTTACTGAATAGAATTGATGTTATGGGTCAGATTTGTACTTTAGGAAAATCACTTTGGTAGCAAGATTTGAAGATATAATGGAGTTAAATAGAGACAGTCAAGAATATTTAGGCTGTAGTAATTATCTAAGAGGCAAGAGGTGATAAGGGCCTGAACTAGCGTGGTGGCCACATGGATGAAAATGAGGAGCCTAACCACAGAGCACTGCCCTGGGCCTTCTTCTCTATACTATTCATGTGGTGATCTTATCAGCTCCCATGGATTCAATTATCTCTATGCTGATGATTCTCAATGCTACTCATTGCATGCCTAGCATGTAGTAGATACGTAATACATGTTTACTGACTGACCAATGTGAGACAAGTTCTGAAGGTAAGAACAAGATTTGGGCAACTAATTGGATACTTGAGAGTGAGTGAAAGTGCGTTAAGGATGAGACAAAGATTCACATTCTGATTACTATAAGGATGGTGGTGCCCTCAACAGAAACAAGGTACTTTGGGAAAAAAAAAAAAAGGAAGCAGCAGGATCAAGCTTCAAATCCAGATTCTCTCAAAACTAGCTATAACTAAAGATAGGTCGAGGTCAAGCAGAAAGAAGGCTGGACATTAGCAGACCTAGTTTTGTTGCCAACTCTAACCTCAGGCAAATCAATTAATGTTTCCATGCCTCTTTCTCCATCGGTAAAATAGGTATAATAATAGCTGTCTACTTCAGAGAGGAGGAAAATATAGTAAAAGTGCTTTCAACCTATAAGTGGAAGTATGCATTATAAATGCAAAGAATTATAAGTATACTCAAAAAATGACCTTATTCCAAAAGTTCATGCTTCAGAAGTATAATATGGATCATACAAACAACTGCAATCATTTAGGTTGATGTGAGGGGCAAACTGACTCCCCTCAAAACTGCTTATCAATGAGTAAGGGAGATAAGGGAAAATAAGCTAAGGAAAGTAACAAAGGTCCACCATTTGGTACAATTTCAAAGTTAAACTTGTTAAATCTAATTATCAGAACAATTTGTGAATGCCCTAAATGAGTGTTTAATGAGGCAAATGATCTCTAGCTTCACTTCACAGAAGCTTACTGACATATGACACACCACATAATTGTACACTTAAAACCAGATTTCACATAAAAAGATGTACAATCCCAGTACATATAATTTTTATCCAGGAAACAAAATAGCTTATACAAAGCAGTAATAGTGATTAATACTGACATGGTGGTAAGGAGGCTGAAAGAGTAGTGGATAGAGCTGTCACAAGTGAAAGTCAATAAAAGTAGACCAAAGCACATTGTCT